TTAGCCAATCACAACACACTGGGCTAGCTAACCAATCAGAGCCCAACGCCTATTACTGAGAGCGGGGCTTCTTAAAAACAGGAAAAGATCAGCCTGTTTCTCAGAGAAGGGACAGAGCGGTGTGGAATAAAGATAAATAATGTGAAAAATACTTTTTTAAAAAACTAAGCATTAACACATGTTAGACTGCACCCCATAAACACAATCAAGCCTAGAAAAAAAACAGTGAACCACCCCTTTAAAATAGTTAATCAGCGTGCTAACAGGCAAGGTCAATCTCCAGCAAAACAGTATCCAAGGTCAACAGTTACAAAGTCAGTAGTGAGGCAATAGGTCAGGGCAGGCAGCTTAACGATCACAAACAGACTCCAGGCAAAAACAATAGGTAGGCAGAAGAGAATCAATAATGAGAAAACAGTCCAGGACAATACACGAGAAAGGCAAACCAAATAAAGAACGCTCAGATTTGCTGCCGTGGCAAGAACAAGACTTTACAAAGAACAAAGAACTTTTAAAAGTAAAAAGCAGAAACTTGTACTCTACACCAGGGGTCTCCAAACTCAGCCATGTCCTGCAGAGTTTAGACCTTGAATATGAACCCAGCAGTTCGCTTCCTGTCCATTCGCCAAGGCCATCATACAATAAAGGACTTTGTGGCAGATTTTTGTGAACTTTCTCACCTGGTGGACTTCAATGATGTGGCGCTAAAATACATTTTTCGTAATGGGTTAAATGAACCCATGTGTTCACAGCTTCCAGGAGTAAAGATACACTGGTCCCTGGCAGAATACATAGACCATGCCCTTCTACTGAGTGGTTCCTTATTTACTGTGTGGGCTGTGGATAAAGAACCCTGCAATTCCCCAGTATCTACCACGCCAGAGCCCTCAGCCATCAAGTCAAGTTTTTCCACACCTGAACCGTCATGTCAGAATTTATTCACTCCACGACTACCAAGCCAGAGCCTGTTCATGTCATGCCCACCAAGCCAATGCCTGTTTGCGTCATGGCCGCCACACCTGAGTTATCAGCCAAGATGGCCGCCACACCTAATTCATCAGCCAAGATGGCCACCACGCCTGAGCAATCAGCCAAGATGTCCTCCACGCCGGAGTCTTCACCTAAGTTTGCCACCACGCCTGAGCCTCTCCATGTCACAGCCACCACACCAGAGCCTCTCCACGGCCCTGGTCCTTCATTGTTCCACAGTCTGCCATTGCTCCACGGTCCAGGCTTGCCATTGCCCCATGGTCCAGGCCCACCACTGCACCACGGCTCTCTGTTCCATGGCCCAGGCCTGCCACTGCTCCATGGTTCAAGCCTGCCACTGTTCCATGGCCCAGGCCAGCCACTGTTCCACAATCCTGGGGCCTCATTTCTAACCGTTGCATACGCACAAAACCTGCCCTGAAAGAGGCGTACGCCACTTCCTACGCAAAAGGTGGGATTTATAAAAAACAAACTTGACGGGAAAATTTGCATACCTGCACGCAAACTCTGACCCATGCGTACAGACTTTTTTTCCTGGAGAAAGAAAAGTAATGAAGTAAACAACGATTTTAAACTGTTTTCATTTGATCATATACATTTACATTAAATATTACACTCTCATTAATGGAGATAAGCACTGAAATTACATAAAGTCATTACGAAGAAGTTAATCCAAAATTATATGAATTTAGACATAGCCTATTTGTAGTGGATGCACTTGATTACTTTTCCTGTGGTATGTAATGTCTTAATGACAGCGAGGAGTGCTATAGGTGCACAATAATTTATCTTAAGTAAACTGCACATCTCATATTATGAGAAAATATTTTTAGTGAGAACAATGATCAATGACGCGCACTTACTTCGATATTGTGGCGGA